ATTTGTTCTAATGGTGTTTGTAAATAGGATCACAAGTCCGCATCTTGTACAGCAATTAACCACTAAGAAGAATATATGCAGTGTGTTATCTGTTGAAACTGTACTTCTGATTTTATTTGAAACTGTCTCCTTGTTATCTGTTTATCAATAAAATTATAAAAAATAAAATGCAATATGGGAGTTTCTGTTTTAAACTGAAGGATTAAAATTTTAAGTTAGTATGACTCTAGAGGAAAAGGGACTATAGCATTTATATTCTGCTTTCTGAGCATCACTTATGTCTAAACATTTGAAATTATGCGGTGAGATAGGTCATTTGAAAAAGCAGACTTGTCCCAACCTGCATTGCCAACCTCAGAACACTTTTACTGAGCTGAAAAGTATAGGAATTGAACAGAGAAAACTATGGCAGTGGCAGGAATGGCTTCTCCCTCTCTTCTTTCCTTGGCAAGACACCATGGTGGGGTGCCAGGAGTCCTACCTATGAGAGAAGCTGAGGTGGGAGAGACACAAGTCTGAGCAATGCTTCCTCCTTTAAATATCCCTGTTAACATTAAGAGAAATATCAATTATAATGCATTTCACAACTAAAATTTTTCTGTAAGAAAGAAACAAAATGGTTAAAATTGCCTTATGTTCAGAGTTCTTGCACCAAAGAAGTAATCCTTACTTGGGTTCAAATGTAAATGTGCGCCATAGGAAATGAGCTCCTTCAGGTTAGTATTTCTTACAAGAATTAAAGGGAAACTTTAAAGCTACCCACATTTGTATGCTTTTTCTCCATGACCTAAAAACAGATCAGAAAGTTATACAAAAGTTTTCAGATCTTCCTAAGTACATTAAGGTCTTTAGAGGACTTGCTCAGACCTATAAACTAGATGAAAAGATATTATATTATGTTACATATTTTCAGAGATGATTTCAATAAAGCCTAGCAAGCACAGCTGCAAAAATGACTGGATAGAGAATCCAAAATATCTTAAAGATCTCTATGCCCTACGGCAGAGATTTCTCCTGGCCTATTACCTGCCTCTGTCCCCGGAGACAACAGATATGTTTTTGCAGGTTGGGCTCTTAGAAACTTTGATTCAGTTACACATTAGAAAGTAAGACCTAGGGGCTGGAGAGATGGCTCAGTAGAATAAGTGCTTCCCTGGCAAGCTCAAGGGTCTGAGTTCAATCCCTGGTTCCACAATAAATAAATAAATAAATAAATAAATAAATAATAAAAAATAAAAAAAGTAAGACCTAAAAATATAGTTTGAACATTTTCATTCTCTCTCTTGTTTCCAAAAGGTTAGAAACAGCCACTTAGGTCCTTTGGTTATTGGTTTAGTTTTCTGTTTGGCAACACAGTTGGACTCATTCATAACTTTTGCCTTTAGAGATATGTCTTACTAAGGATTAGAGACCCACCTTGGGAAAGCTATTGATCTATTTCTGTACCCCAGATAGGTAGGAGGATTTAGTTCTTATACTTGATGGACTCACTGTTTTGTTCCTTCTCTACTATGCAGGTATAGTTCAGCACATGCAAATCAATAAGTGAAATACACCTTACTAACAGAGCCAAAGACAAAAACAACATGATCATTTCAACAGATACAGAAAAAGCATTTGATCACACCCAAATGACATTCATAATAAAGAACTTAGATAAAATTGAAATAGATGGACTTTATCCCAAACTAATAAAAGCCATCTGTGAAAACTAACAGTGCACATCATGGTAAATAGTGAAAAACTGAATGCTTTGATTTAAAATCAAGAAGAATAAAAAGATGTCCACTATTAGCACTGCTTTTTAATGTAGTTATGGAAACATTAGCCAGAGCAATTGGAGAAAGAGAAATAATAAGAACAGGAGATAAATGTAAATTATTTTTATTTGCAGATGACATGATACGCTACATAGAAGATCACCAAAAGACTTCTAGACTTAACCAGATTTAGTCACATGGCTTGTTACACAGTCAGCACTCAAAAATCAATAGCATTCCTGTATACATGCAACAAACATAGATTAGGGAAACCATACCCTTCACAATAGCATCTAGATAAATGAGATGCTTACAGATTACTCTAAAAAAGGAAGTAAAAGATCTATATATTGAAAATTATAATATTCTGAAAAAGGAGATTGGAGAGGATATAAAAAATGGAAAGATACTCCTTGCTCTTCAGTAGGAAGAACAATATTGTGAAAATGGCCATATTCACTGTTATACAGATTTAATGAAACCCCACTCAGAATACCATTAACATACTTTGCAACCTAGAGAAAACATTTCTAGTGTTAATTTGGAACCAGAGGAGACCAAAAGTAGCAAGAACTATTCTCAGCAATAAAGGTAAAGCAGGAGGCATAACAATCAATGACTTGGAATTATACTACAGAAGTTCTGTGAATAAAAACAGTATGGTACTCACAAGTCAAATCAAATCAAAACAAAGCAAGATAAAACAAAAAATAAACAGATCTGAGGATCAATGGAACAGATTAGGACAGGCAGAAAAAACTTTAAACACAGACCTCTTTGACAAAGTGGCCAAACTTGTTTACTGGAAGAAAGATAACCTTTTTTTTATCAATGGTGCTGGAAAAACTGGTTTGCCACATGCCAAAGACTAAAACTAGACCCATGTCCATCACCATGCACTAAACTAAAGTCAAAATGGATCAAAGATTTAAATATTAAAACAGAAACACTAAATCTTCTGGAAGAAAATGTAGGTAGAAATCTTAAAGACATATGGATAGGTGCAGTGTTCATGATCAATAACCAAACTGCATGGGAAATACTTCAAAAAGAATCAACAACTGGGATCTCATCTCTCTGAAAAGTTCTGTAGTTCAAATCTCTAACAGAATAAAAAGAAAATGCACAAACTGGGAAAAATTATAGCTGACTTTCCCTCCAACAAAGGCCTTCTACCTAGAATATATAAAGAATTAAAAAAAAAAACCAGCTCCCACCCCTAAATTCAAAGACCCCATCCAAAAATGGGCATCTGAGTGGAATATACAATTTTCAGATGAAGAAATACAAATGGCAAGTAAATACATGAAAATATGTTCAACATCATTGGTCATTTGAGAAATGCAAAATAGAACAACACTGTGATTCCATTTCACCCCAGAAAGAATGGCTAACATCAAGAAGTCAGCCAATTACAAATGCTGGAGGGACTGTGGGGAAAAAGGAGTGCTTCTCTACTGTTGGTAGGAGTGCAGACTGGTACAAACACTATGGAAACCAGTGTGGAGATTCCTTAAAAAGCTAGGATTGCAGGTCCCATTCAAGCCAGCTATTCCCCTCCTGGGTATTTTTCCAGAAGAACTGAAAACCTCATACCACAGTGATATGTATGCACTCATGTTTATACCAGTACAATTTGTCATAGCTAAATCCTGGAAACAATCCAGATACCCATGAACTGAGAAATGGATAAAGAAGATGTAGTATTTTTACACAATGGAGTATTATTCAACTATAAAACAGGATAAATGTGAGACTTTTGCTGGTAAATAG